GAGCTCAGAAGCGGAAGATTGACGATGCTGAATGGAAGAATCAACCAATTACTTTCACATCTGCTGATCTTGATACAGTTGTTACACCCCACAATGATCCTTTGGTCACTTTTGTCATGATTAACAACTGTGAAGTACAACGTGTCCTTGTTGACACTGGGAGTGCACCAGACATCATGTATTTCCACTGTTTCGAGAGTCTGGGATTAGATCCAACTCTGTTACAGAAGTATGATGGTCCTATCTATGGTTTCAACAACCAGCCTGTTCCGGTAGAAGGTGTTCTTACTCTCCATGTGGCTTTTGGAAGTGGCAGAACCTATGTAACCCCGTCGGTCTGGTTCCTAGTCGTTAAAATGGCGTCCTCTTTCAACATTGTTATTGGTCGACCCACATTGACCGAAATCCGAGCTGTGGTTTCCCAATCTCACCTCTGCATGAAATTCCCCACTCCAATGGGAATAGCAACATTGCGAGGAAACCAGGAGGTGGCCAGACACTGTTATATCATCTCGGTAACACAACCCATGAAGGACAAAGCTCAAACTCCCGAAGCCATTCCCCAGCAAATTTCTGATAATCAGCAAGTTATGGGTGTTGAGATCGTAGATAATCGACCAGAAGATGAAACCAGAGCTGCTCCGGTCGAAGATGTTGAAGAAGTGCTCGTTGATGACAAAGATCCGAGCCAAAAAACGCAGATCGGAACTAGATTGAACCCGGAGGAGAGAGCAGAACTGATAGCTTTTCTCCGAGCTAACAATGATGTATTTGCGTGGACTTCGGCAGATATGCCAGGAATTCCAACTTTAGTATGTCAACATAAGCTCAGTACCAACCCGTTGAAGAAACCAGTGGCCCAAAAGCGGCGTCTCTTCGGGGGGGAGAGGCTTCAGGCTGTTAAAGAAGAGGTAGAGAAACTCCTGCAAGCTGGTTTTGTCCGGAAAGTTGATTACTGTGAATGGGTGGCTAACCCAGTTCTGGTGAAGAAAGCCAATGGCAAATGGCGAATGTGTATTGATTACACAAATCTTAACAACGCCTGCCCCAAGGATTGCTATCCAATGCCGAGCATTGACAAACTAGTTGAAGCGGCTTCAGGCAATGAGAGGTTGAGCCTTTTGGACGCATACTCGGGGTATCACCAGGTGCCAATGGCTCCAGAAGACGAAGAGAAAACCGCGTTCTATGCTGGTGATGAAATTTATTGTTATGTCATGATGCCGTTTGGCTTGAAGAATGCAGGTGCTACTTATCAAAAAATGGTGACCATTGTCTTCCACGCTCAGATTGGCAAAAATCTGGAAGTATATGTCGATGACATTGTGGTAAAGAGCCTCAAAGCAGAAGACCATCTCGCCGACCTCGACGAAACCTTTAACAACCTCAGAAAGAACAAGATGCGTTTAAATCCAGCCAAGTGCATTTTCGGAGTGGAGTCCGGTAAATTTCTAGGTTTCATGGTGTCCCGAAGGGGGATTGAGGTCAATCCAGAGAAGATCAGAGCAATTGCCGAGATGGAACTGCCGAAGTCAATTAAAGATATACAGAGGTTGACTGGAAGGGTGGCA